AGGGGGTGGGGTTGGGGGTTCATGGTTGGGGATGGGTGGTGGGTGAGTAAATAATAAGTGAGGGCCTGGGAGGATGGGGAAGAAGAGGGGGGAGGAAACTATACACTTTTCTTCCCCCTCCCGACTTTCTTGATTTGCCTGTAGCAAGGTAAGACATGAATAATGAGTTCGGGTTCGTGGTAGGTGTTGAGGATGGTTAAAAGAGTGGTATAAGACGATTGGCTCGCTAGATATGCACACCTTTCTTTGCTTGTTGCGGAAGCTACAGTTAGGCTGCGAGCGCAAACCATCATGTAGTGGGCAGAGAAACTTATGGCAATTCCGTCTCGCCAGGCGCGGTCATTTTTTGATATCATGGAATTTAGGATGAAGAGGTCGGTCGGCCTTCGATGATGATGAAATGACTGATAGATCCCCTGAATAATTGCAGATCATTGAGATAACCTCCAGGGTGTATCTCACGGATCTGAGCCAGGAATGAGGGATTCTGAGTTGGAAAAGTGGGTATACGGGATCCCTTCCAGAGGCAAGATGGAAGGATAGTTGCGAAGGACCCCCAAAGAAAGAGAAAAGATAAGGCCATCAACATAAACACAAAAGCATAAAGGTCACAATGAAGAGGAAAGGCATAATTAATTGGTAAACATAAGAAAATTTTCTGCTATCCTAGTAAGAACTATATAGCCAAGGCTTTTCATGGTATCACGACCAAACCGATTCTATCATCCTCTGCATCATCTATCATCCCACAGACCCCATCTGTCGTATCCAACAATGTAAAAACTAAGTCTAACAAATTACAATGGCAAGCAAACCAAAACAAGGACCAAGAAAATTCTGTCCTCAACATGTACATGAAAAGGGAAATTTCCACTCGTCCAAAAAACCATCCAAGAGCCCAGGAAGGTGGAGAGGGAGACAGATAAAGTCAGAACGCATCACACATTACGCCACCATATCCTCGTAAAACCAATAGAAATCAAAACGCCACTAGACATGCATTCTAGGTGTTGTCTAGTATATATATATATACTGCCGTGGTAAAACAAATCAGAAAACTGATAGATCTCTCTAATAATCATCTTCAGTCTCAACAGCACGGGTGACAATACCCCATCTGTCGTTGCCAGCCTCATCTCTCTCGTGTTGAAGAGCAAGCTTAGACATGTGACCAATGATGTTCTCCATCTTGGTGTCGGCAAGGTTGCGCTTGGCACGTCCAAGGTTGTCGAGCCAAGTCATCTTCTCCAAAAGGAAGTAGACGATGGCAATGACAATGGTAACACCAATGGAGTAACACCAGACAACAACGACGGTAATGATATCGGTATCACCGTTGACGGACAAGCGGACGTTTTGAGTTGCTGGGCTGGATGGCTCACCCTCGCCACCACAAAGCCAACCGAAGACACAGAAGAGGGTGGAGAGGACGTCGACCAGAAAGATGGCGATAACCAATTGCCACGATGGCCAGGTGCGGGAACCACGAGTGACGAAAATGAGCCAGTTCTCAGTGAGGGATACTTGCAAGAAAAGCATACCCTGGATACTACCGTAGAGTTGAATGATACCACCCTCTGGCATGAAGATTGCACCACGTAGAACCCAGGTACCGATGGCAAGAAGTATACCGAGGATGACGGAAATGATCCAGATTTTGGGAAGTTGCCATTCAACGGGACGTTGTTCGTAGTGGGCGTTGTCGTAGGCTACGGCAATGGTGGCCAAATCGGCGAACAAGGCGAGGAAGACGATGAGGTCGACACGGATGGTCTCGTTGATGATAACCATGGAGGTGACGAGGTAGATTTCGAGATGGAGACAGAGAGCGATACGGTATTGAATGTATGCCTTCATACGTTGGAAGATTTGACGAGCGATCTTGATGGCAGAGACAATGGTGTTAAGACCAGGGGCGAGGAAGACAATATCGGCGGCAGCTTGGGCGGCTTCAGTGGCACCTTCGACGGCAATACCACAGTCAGATTTCTTGAGAGAAGGAGCATCGTTGACACCGTCACCAGTCATGGCAGTAAGATGTCCACGTTCTTGCAACATCTCGACGACTTGGTACTTGTGCTCAGGGAAAACCTCAGCGAAACCATCAGCCTTCTCAACAAGGTCGTGTGCAGTAGATCCAGTAAGACCACCGTGGATGAGACGGTCAGAGTTGTAAACCTTGGTACCGAGGGCAAGCATCTTGCAAGTTTCCTTAGCGATAGCAATGGCATCACCAGTAAGCATCTTGACGGAAAGACCGAGAACTTGGGCTTCAGCGATAGTGGCAGCGGTATCATCACGAGGAGGGTCGAACATAGGCAACATTCCAAGCAATTGCCATTCTCCGTTACCTTCCTTGACAGCGACACCGAGAGAACGGAAACCACGTCTGGCGAATTCGGTAGTCTTGGCTCGGTACATATCACCAATTTCCTTGGAGCATTGAGACATGTTCAGGATGGCTTTAGGGGCACCCTTGCAGCAAGTGAAAGTGACACCATCCTTGATACAGACAGTGGTGATACGCTTGGAGACAGGGTCGAAAGGAGTGTAAGAGATGGTTTTCCAGCCGAGACCGAGAATCTCCTTTGCCTTTGGGTAACGCTTGAGAGTGAGAATGGTGACTTTGTCGATAGGATCCAAGGACTTGACGTTGTGGGAAGAGGCCAAGGCAGCGACGGCCATCATCCAGTTGACATCGACACCCTCGGCAACGAAAGGTTCCCGGATGGAAAGTTGATTGGCTGTGAGTGTACCAGTCTTATCGGAGCAGAGAACGTCAACACCCTGGAATTCATTGTTAGCATTTGATCGGACAATGTATGTAAATGACACGAGTAGTCTAGCTCCAACTATGTCTCAAAACGGGGGGTTAAGTTGCGCGCGGGGTAAATGATAACAGAACTCGCTTCCATTCACCAAATTTCATTGGCCAATGAAATTGCGCAGTATGGATCCTCCTGCGTGCGAAAAAAGGAAAAGGGAATGGCGTGACTTACGGCGAGGGATTCAATAGCAGTCAATTTTTGTACGATGGCCTTTTCTTTGGCGAGGTAGGCGGCACCGACAGCGAGGGTAGTAGTGGTAACGACGGGAAGACCGACGGGGACACCGACGATCAGGAGAATGAGGGCGTAGTGGAGTAAGTTGACAGAGCTGTGCTCGGGAGTGGCAATCTTCAAGTGATGGAAGAAACCACCAATCCAGGCAATGAGAATCCAAAAGACGACCAAGACCAAGAGCGCTGTGCCGATAGAGTTCATGATGGCTTTGAAGTGACCTTGATCTTGGGCTCCAGTAACCAAAGAAGCAGTGCGACCGACGAAGGACATTTTGGCGGAGTGGGTAACCAAAGCATATGCCTTTCCACGCTTGCAACCGGTTGTGTAGTAGACTGGGTCTGCGACGTACTTGTCGACAGCGAGGGACTCTCCGGTCATGGCAGATTGATCAATAGCGAGAAGAGCGTATCCGGAGCCATGCTTTCCACCATGGTCATCTTCGTCCTCTTCCAAAACTTCGGTTTCACCACGTTGTACCTCGAGTTCAGCGAGGTACTCTTGGTAACCGTTGGGGTTGTCGTAAGCAGAGATAATTCGGCAATCGGCAGGGACGACAGTTCCATCCTCGATGATGATCTGGTCAGGGTTAGCGAGGAATCGCCTATGAGTGACATTGAGGGAAATGACTTACGATATCACCAGGGACAAGTTCACGGGCAGGGATTTCTTGTTCAGCGCCATCGCGAACAACCAAACACTTGAGAGCAATGTCACCCTTCAATGAGGCGACGACATCAGCGGCTTGCTTTTCTTGGTACCAACCAACAATAGCGTTCAACATCAGGATACCAACGATCACTCCAAGATCGACCCAATCACGGAGACCTGCAGCGAGGAGAACAGCCAGTTCCATAACTATGTAGTGTTAGTCCATGCTTGGAATTGCGCTGGTGGGCGTCGCATAGCATAGCTTACCATAGAGAATTGGGCCCTTAAAATAACCCAAGAATTGCAAAAACAGATTGGCCTCTTCCGAGGTCAATTCATTCCATCCAGTTTTTCTTCGGCGCTGTTCAACAGCGGCCGCACTTAGACCGACCTTCCAGTCGGTGATGAGCCAGTCGTCCGGCGTCTCATAGACACCGGCCTCGTGGTCGCCCTTGGAAGAAGACCAAAAGTACTTCTTCTTGGGCTTCTCATCGGCGATTGAGGAGATGATTGAGGGTTGGCGACCGTCTTTGTACTGCGAGATGTATCGCACGAGACCGCCGTACTCGGAATCGAGGTTGTTGTCGTTCATCTGCAGCGTTCCGCGAGCGAATTGACCATCTTTCTCGCTGTCGCCATTGAGGCCACCAAGGTGATCTGTTGCTGCCATTGCGGCGGGGGGTTGACGATACTCACACTACACACACTCAGAAGGGAGGGGAGATTGCTGAAAGCTCACTGCGCCGTCGACTGGTCACCAGGGGAGGATGGGGATGAGAGTGGTAGGAGGTGAGAGAGAAAAAAAGAGGGCAGATGGGAGGGAAAGCAGCTGGTATTTGAACCCATCCCGCGCTACACTCAACACACCATCAATCCATGGGCGAAGGGCCATCCCATGGGCCATGGGGCTCGCCGGTCGGTGCTAGGACGTGTTCCGTAGCAGGCTAGTAGGAGACTAGCTTATTTTTCCCGTTCTTCCCCCTTCGGGCCTGTCTAGCAATCATTTTAGCAACGCCCCGCCGAGTGCTAAGCTAGCAGAGCTCTCCCTGCTGCTACTCGCTACAAGCACAAAATCGCCGGGTTGGCGAGGTTGGCGAGGGAGGTGTGCATATCCGTGGGAGGGGCAGCCATAGCATCCATCGCATCCCCAGGGAGCCCGCCAAGCACGCAGGCATCGTGGGCATAGTAGCGCAACTAGCGTCATACCCATTCTACTACACCAGCACGGACACCAATGGCCTCCACAGGTTTGTAGAGATACGGCACTTGGACCAGCAGTCGTAGACAAGACTTCGCGTCTGTCAGGCCTTGGGGCTTGGAAGGCGCCACCGAGGTGCCCTCGAGGCTTGATCTCTCCCCGTCGTCTTCCCCACGTCTCCCCAGAAATCTCAGTGCATTGCTTGCCGTCGACTTTGGGGATCCAGTGCTGTGCTCTCTCTAGTACTTCGTACCTACAGTAGGTACTACTGCTCCTACTCCTTCTCTTGCTAGCGCGACCGCGTCCAAGCACCCAATTACTCGTCCATGCCCATGACCTGCACCAGCTCCCATTTGCCAGGTCGAAAAGGCGGTTGCATCGACCAGCACAAGCGAGATGCGATGATACCCCCACCGGCGCGCTCTTGACACGAACCACCTGAGTGGCTAGAGCCAATTGCAGCACCGTGAGAAATCTCCGCGGTGGGCTCTCTCTCTCCTTCCAATGGCTGGCAACTGGAGAGCAGCCCACTCTGGTGCTCGGTGCGTGCCCCGCAGCTCCAGTGGATCCCTCGGCCGGCCCTCTTTTTTGCCCAGCACAATTTATGTTATAATTAGTGAGAGGTCGCCTTGTAATTAGTATAATTAGTATAATTAGCGGCTGATTTTTATTCTTAGCTCGACCTAGGTAAAAGTTCTCGACGGCGATTGCGAATAGCAATGCAGCATGGAAGGCCCAGTCCGGCGTGGATGGACCGACGTCGGGACCAACTACCAAGTAAGCTAAAAATGCCCTCCAGGCTTCATCTGCCGCAGACACGCTATGAGTCGTCTGGTCAGCACTCGCCAACGGCTCTTCAGGCGGTGTCGCAGACACAAACCGCTCCTTCTGGCCTCAGGCTTCGCCGTGATGGGACGACGGTGATGTGCAGCGATGCTTCCGCTTCTGCTTCTGTTTCTTCAGGCTCTTCCATGCCGGTTGCCATGCATTCAACAATGACATAACCCACCCCGTAGGGATCCCATGATGACGAGGCGTAGCCATACAGCCAGAGAGACGGGCAGGGGACACCAGAAGCCAGAGCCATTGACCAATGAGACGGATGTAATATCGACGGCATCAGTATCGCCAGCATGGTTGCCAGAAAAGCAGCAAAAAGCAGCGAGCATTCATCCGCAAAGGGCAAGGCTCGTCCAGCTCGGGATCCACCCTGATCCTGAAGGGTTGCAGGTTCCATTGTTGTTGTTGGTTTGTTGTGACGGGGTTTGAGTGTGGTTTCGTTCATGGTGAGAGGCTTGGAAGGTATCAAAGTCCCAAATACGCGGTATATTCAATTTTACTAGTAGTGCGAGCACCGAGGACTCGAGTCTCTTTACTCATACATGATACTTCTACACTTGTCAAGAGGAACACATGGGAAGATTTGGCAGCAGTGGTCCGACAATCGTGGGACAGACGTTGGATTGGGGCTCTGCCTCCCGCCTCTGGGCATGCACCAGACAGTTACAGTTGCACGGTAGGGCAGAATCTACAGCACGGCAGTATGAGTGCTCATCGAGTACGGAGTACAGATCTTGCATGCTTCAAGCGGCACAATGTTGCACGCCCACCGTCGTCGTCCTCCAGAAGCGACTCAACCACTCAACCACACAACCACCTCTCAAACACCAACCACCCTCCAGTATCCTGATTCTCGCATCCCCATCGCATCCCCATAGCAATCGGGGAGATAGCCGTCCCTAGCCTGACTCAGCTAGTCGTTCTTGGAGTCAAAAAGCTTCGCTGTCTTGGCTCCCTCGGCAGAGGAGCAGCTTGGGGAAGAGGTCGTCGACCTTCGCGTAGTCAGAAAGTAGTGGCCGCTACTCTACTTACTAACCAACTATCTAGTGCAACTTGTTGTGTACCTATCATTAAGCGTGTTAGCCGCGTCGATACCTGACGACACGTCGAAAAGGAGGCATCAATACTGCATCTCTCCGCTTCAGGAGTTCACGTACTCGACTCTAGCTAGCGCCTCGCAGACTTTGCTTAGGGACGGTTGGAAACTCAATTTGGTCAGAGGCTAGAAGAAGCCTAGACAGGAACTCGATGTTCCAGAATGCAACTAATTCCTTACCGCCATGTAAGTCCTCATGTGAACATGTATGACAGTGAGTAAGGCTCGTCGTGATGCTGCGAAGGACATTTTGAGGATGCCGGTACGGCCGATAATGCAAACCAAATCGCTCACATGGTGACATGGCATAGCCCGAAGAAGACTCAAGACTAACTGGTAAACTTCATCTGGTACGAAGTATCTAATCGCGCATTCATGCCTGGGTCCTTCGTAGTTCGTACTTGGTCCTTACTGTGCCAGCAAGAACCAATATCATCAAGCAAGACCAATTAGTGATCGCATGCGATGTCGTATCGGTCCCTCGGCTCTTATGGAAGTATTCGCTTAGAGAGGGAGTACATATCCATCTTGCAGTCATCTGGCAGCTGGTGCAAGAAAGCGGTGATTTTCTTGCTCGCATACCTCCAAGTACTTCGCAACATACCTAGGTATCCTTCGTAGCCTCGGAGTCCTCAAAGGTCTCTCCCCGTCCCACAGGAAGATCCATCCGGCCCTTTCCTCGCAAGGTGTGAGGAAGCGGTGGACATTTTGGGTGAGGCATTTTACCTTCGTCCCCCTGTCCTCGCCCGCGGTTATCGGCAGCCACGTGACCAAGCCTCGGATTTGTTGCGGAATGGTGGAGCAAAAGTAGCTACGAGGGACCCAGGATGCTACGTGCCTACCTAGGTACCTACCTACTCGAGTAGGTAGTCGTGGTAGTCAAGTGCCTCCAAGTGCTACTTGTAGACACTGAGTAAAGGTGGAGAGACAGCGGACGAGCGGTACCGAGTAGAGATCACCTCACTACCTCGGGAGGAGTTCCTGAGGCAGGAGAGGCGAGGCGGGCGGCAGACATTCAATCCTCCCCCATATTTCCCACCTGCACACTGCAATCCACCAATCCACCAATCCACCCGCTCACCCACACTTTTTTTGGGTGCGGCCTTCTCCATCTCCAGGACTTGGCCTGGAGACTGGAGACTGGAGACTGCACTCAGTGCACTGATGGATCGTGGATCGCTTCACGGGGAAATTCGACGGATAGCAGACTTGGCAGGTACCTCTGAACTTGCAGCAAGTCGCGAGCTTGCAGCGATGCCAATGGAACAGGTGAAGACAGCGCTGCCTTTGCGAACCTTCCATCCTTGAACCAGCACCCGCTTGCTTCCAAGCCTGCTTCCAAACGATCTTGGACCCTGCGGGGGGAGGATGCGATGCATGCGCATTCTGTGCAGCAGCAGCAGGAGTTGGAATGGGATTACCTACTCTAACCCAGGCTGGGTCTAAGAGTTGAGGTATCGAAACAAAACAAAAGTCTTGTCGCCTCGGGACCACAATTCTTCATAAGGCGAATGAAAATTTTCACCATTCACAATCTCCCGCGAGTCGCAGATTTCCCTCAATCTCTCCCTGAGGCCTCCCTGAGTCCCTCACCGTACATTACGCGAGGACACGCGAGGACCCCTTCTTCGCTTTCCCCCCCCCCATTTGACTTTTGGCGGATGCGAACGCTGGACGCTGAACGGACGCTGGACCTGCACTGTAAATCAACTGCAGTCTATCTCTCGTCGATAATCAAGTTGTCACTTCTGAACTTGTCGCCGTCAGCGTCAGCGTCCCCGTCACCTGGTCGCCCAGAGGTGCCGAGAAGTGCTGGAAAGGGTGCCGTGGACGCTGATCGGCTCCGAAATACGGCCTTGAAACGGGCTGGCCGACTCTATTCTGAGGAGGTCTCCTAGGTCCCTGGAGAAAGGAAGCATCGCAAACCAGAAAAATCGCGCACCAGCGGATGACGAAATCCATTTAGTAAACAAGTGATCCTCTTCGCCGAGGTGACTGGCGGTTGTAGTCTGGCTTAATCGTTATTAATATGATTGATGCGCTTTTCCACCACCAGGAAGTCCCGATCCGTCCAATATTAGTCTTGCCCAGAGTCCAGAGTGCCATCGCATCCATATCTATTTTTCTTCCAACAAGTCACAAGTCCTTCAGGTCTTGCGTCAAAGGCCGTCGCCGTTGCCGTCGCCGCCATGGTTGGGATGTTTCCATGTTCAAGTTCGCCTCCCAGCACAGGACAGGACAAATTCTGTTTTTCTATGGAGTACATTATCTGTACCTATAGGAAGTAAGTAATTCACGAGTACTTCTGGTACTTTGAATTCTTCATATTCTCCTAGTCGCCGCCGCTGCCGTTGCGGTTATGTTATCCTCGCCCTCACCCTCGGAACTCTTTCCTCCCTTCTCGGGGTCAACTCGGCCTTCCTCGACCACCCAGTATCAGAATTCCATCGCAAGTGAGGCTTACGACTGACGATGGAAGAGGTGAACTGAATGGTCATTCTGGGCTCCTCCCACTCTTGATAAGGGTTCCCAACCTCCCAGTGGTTTGTCCATGTCCGTGTCCTGGAAGTTAAGACGAATCCATCGAGTTCGGCGCAACTCGACCCCCCGCCGATCGATACTTGGGCGGGCCCCTAATCTGAGCTCCAATAATCCCTAAATTTTTCTCTCGTCACGAATCGCAACGGCTTGTTTGGGAACGAATCAATCGGATTTGAGGCTCCAGCGACACCTGTGGATTGGAGCCAAAATCGCGAGGACTTTGAGACGGCGTACGTGCTCCTGGATTACGTCAGGTAATTCGGATTCAAATTGCCAAAACAACAATTCCCGCTGGAGATGCTGGAGAATGAGTGTGCTGTTCCAAAACAATCTCCTTCAGACCCAGAGTACCGGAATTGTTTCGGCGACACCTCATCAAAACCAAAACCGCTAAGTTTGGATAACCCAAATCTCCCCTTTCACAACTGACCACAACCGATTTATGCAGAATCTGTGACAGCCTTGGGAAACCTCTCAATAATGAACAACTCAATTGGCTCACCACTCACGGAATCAGAAGCATAGACACCGACATCTCCCTCCTTCAATTATCGCGATAATTTCAATACCAATGATACCCCGTACCCGTACTTGCCTTTCCTGGACCTCCACAAATCCGAACCCCCACACGAGCTTTGCTGGCAAGCAAGCTTTCCCTTTCCTCGTCTTTCTCGTGGTGTGATGCCTTGGGGATACGGTCCGTATGGCCTGCCAAGCTAAACACACCCTAAGCTCTCCCCAGAAAAAAAATAGTTCCCCAACTCTTCCCGACTGCATCCCATCCCCGCGGACGACAAATCTTGATACAGTGCCATGGCGGATAATGAACGAAGTCACGACCAAGAAGAGACAAAAAAGATATCGAATCTGGTGAGGGGTTTTCCACGCTGGGAAAACTTGAGGGCGGAAATAAGGAAGCACAAGAAAAGGGCATTTCTGGCTTGATAGTGAACTAGGAGGTCGTGCCGCGATGCAGCTCGCGAAGCCAAGGGCTTGGGAGTTAGGGTGGGATGGTGGTACGATGCTTGCATCTGTTCTTCGTTTTTGTAGGTGCCTATTCCTCTATTATTTTCATCTATATTTTCTACTTCTGGGTTTGCTTCTCTGCTCTCCAGATCTATACCATCTATGATGCGAAATCTGTAGGTCTTGGAAACTGGTACGCCGCCTACGGATTTTCACGAGCAATGTTCAACTCAAATGACACTTACAATTGTGTACACTTTTACGGAATTACACCCAACGACTTTTTTTATTTCTGCAAATTTCAAATCTCTCTATGTACACTTCCGCTTCCCAGAAAAATCCAATATATCCAATTTTTTAGATGTTTAGAAATCAATTCCACTCCAGAACAAACTCTTACAGTGCAACAATGCACTTACCCTCTTGACATAACCTAACCAAGATCAACCAATTTCCTTCGTGCAGCCTCCCTCAATACCTACAACCCCCATCTCCCCCCTTCTCCCTCCATCAAAACATCAAGATTACAACGATATATCCCCTACTTCCTCTCCTCTTCAATTTTTTTCACTGCTCAGAGACTAACTACCGTAGTCTTCCCCCTTCCTTCCTATCTTAGTACATTGGTTATCTCTGTAGTACTAGCTGGATCTTGCGTACGTTAGTAGGTAGTGGGGTGCTAGTTACAGGATTAGTTGAGCGAACTCGAGGGCGTCAGGATTTTCTGTCTGGATGGGTAGCTAAGTCGGTCGCTACTTTTTTTTTTGCTTTTCCTGTTTTGGGGTTTAGGGTAAGAGGTGCTTAGGTTGGGTTATGTTTGGGTAGAGGTAGAGGTAAAGGGT